TTTTTAATACAAGCCAAGGATATAAATGCCCTCACTTTTGATCATTGCAGATAAATAACTTTAGACGTGACATAAGATACTCCTATATTTAATGCAGACGTTTCGACATCCTGCACAGAAGCCATCATCAGGGAAATATTTCACTTCCCCGAGGACACAGTATACAATTCAATAGTAAGATGCAGAAAAATTACGAAACAGCCGTGGTGCAAAAGACAAACTAGCAAATGTGCAACAAAACTAGATGGAACTTTACAAAGAGGTTGAACCGGGTTTTGAAAAACAGAACAGTCAAAACAGTAGTGAGAATTAAAGAGAAGGTGTTATTTGTTTGATTGTATTATAAATTTCCAAGCCGAACAGATATCTGTTGAACTGAAGTAGTTTCTGCAATCTTTTCCTTGTTTAGTGAAATATGCAGAGGTTCTTTAATGAGTAGGCTGAGCCTGTCCTTTTCACAGTCAAGGAACCTAACGTGTTATTTTTTAAAATAAAAGTTATGCTTGCACTCTAACGAATAGGCTACAATCCCGCAATGCCTCAGATGATTCCTCCTAATTTGTCTTATGACGGCTTCTGTACCGGAAGCCGAAATAAAATAAAGGAGTTCCTCATGTCACGCCCAAAGTCATTTGCATTCAGAAAAGGTGATGTCTGGTAAAATGCTTCACGAGTACAGTCGATAACAGACTTACTCCGTAACTAACTAATGGATTCATTTAGTAGAATTCACACATTCAACAAATTGTCCAATTTCGAGTTACACTAGATGATCCATATGCGAGGGCAGTATCACGAAACCAATTATCAAGTCGTGCCTGAAAGTTGTGGGAATGCGATATAGCATTCTCAACAGGTTTACTCGTGTTTCAAACTACAAGCGCATAAAATGCTAGTAGTAAGCTTAAACTGGAGAGAACTGATCGTACTGTTCTAAATGTAGCAGCATAACCTAACAAACAAAGAAGCGACTCTCGACTTTATCACAGGCCACACCAGTTCGGATCAGACAATCAAATCTGCTGCATAATGCGAGTGAAACGAATGACGGGGGAGGGTGAGGTAGGATTGAGCCCGCCGTCTGCTGTATTCATAGATGCGCTAGTTAACTGAACATTAGTATTTACACTAGCTGACTAAACTGCAGTTGTTGTCGGACGGAACAGCGAAACCAAATAAAGAGAACAGTAAGGCTGA